GTTTTTCCTCCCAGTTTCCTTCTTTCTTAAGTGGATCGATCCAGAATGGTGCACGGAGCACAAAGCACAGTTACAGAATTGCCCACAAAAGCAGCCAGCACCCCAATCCAAAAACAGCTTCTGGCCAGGGTTCCCCACCCCTGTCCTTGCCTTCCCCCAGACCCCTCCTTTCCCTCATCCCCGAAGGGAGCGCGGCATTTTTTCATAGTGCTGGAAAGAAAGCCATGAGTCAGGTTAAATTCGAGCAGAGAATGGTTTGCGAACGGATCAGCCCCCAGCAGAGGGCTCCAGCCGGCGCGGGGTGGGACAGCATCGCAGGCAGAGACAGCTTCGCTGGTGCCGGCTCCCTGTCTGCCCCCATAACTCCTGGAGCTTGGTTGTGCCTGTGTTAAACTTCCTGTCCGTGAGTAGAACGCCATCCTGGACGCAGTATATTGTTACAACGCCTTATATTGCTATATTGGGCAAGCATTTCCACTGCATTGCATGTTTGTGACATCCGTGGGCAGGCGCACCTTGCCTCATTGCCCCTGTTTACTGCCCTGGCAAAGGATGGGCTTTTCCACTAACTGCAGGTTTATGGCAGCCCCACGTCCGTCACGGCTGTTGGTGCCATTCTCCCATCAGCTTGTGTCCCTGTGTCACATCTGGGTACTTCCTGCCCCATTCCACACCTGTGCCCTCTTGTACCTGTTTCAGGGGTCTGTGCTCACTCAGCTCTGATGCTGCTATGGTAATTTGTTTTGGGGTGCCACAAGCTGCACCCAGAGAATCCATCCATGTTGTACGTCCCTGACTGCTCCAGTGACTCACCCCTCCCTGCCTCGTCCCTTTTTCTTGGGCCTCCCCGTCCCCCTGAGACACAGCGACCCTGAAATCAGGCCAGGCAGCCATCCTACAGTGGCTGGTGAGTGTTCAAGGGGGAAGGAGGAGGCCCAAATGTCCAGCTGAGACCAAACACCGGACACGATAAAGGGGAGTGGGGAGGGCACGAGTGAAGCCAACGCTGGGCCTCTTGCCCCCCGCAGCCAAGCTCTGAATGCAAAGGCAAAGTTCTGGGAGGAGACAGAAAGGGCTGTGCCGACGACCGCGCGGGAACAAGGCGGACGGCCTCGCTGCCCAGCGGGAGAAGGGGCTACTGGCCTGGGGAGTCAGGAATGGGGTCGTCTCCACAACATCCGAGCGCAGGGGACAGGCAGTGCTGGCGCAGAGGCCACCTCGAGCCCCACAGGTCTAGCAGAGTGCACGGAGCCTGGGGCCTTCGCCCAACAGACTTCCCACGCACGCAAAGCAGCCGTTTGCAGGGAGGGAGGAGGTGCCAGGCGGGGCTCTCACAGCCGGAGAGAAGCCAGCATCTGGCCTCCAAGCTCCAAGGGCGGGGGCCGACTCAGGTTAGGGGCCGCTGCAGCTGTGGCTACGGGAAAGGCGCCCTCGGGGGGCCCAGAGCCCGTGCGAGCGGCTCTGTCTCCTGTGCCTGTGCTCTGACGATGGGACATCAGGCGGTTCACTGACCGCTGGAAGCCCACTGTTGAGACCTGCCGCTCACAAGAAACCAGTCCCTTCAACACATCCCGGCTCAATACCAGTGCGAGATGGACGGATTTTCCAGGATCCGCGCAGCAGCCCCAGCAGGACGGCGTGCGGGAAATGCAGGTGGCCGTGTGCGTGGTTGCTCTGATGGAAATGGGCCCGGTGAATGGAAACCTCCTGGAAGGTGTTCAGCGACCCGGACGGCATCCTGTGTGTCACGGCAGGAGGTCACGGGGTCTGAGTGGGAGCTGGGAAGAGTGGATTCCAGCGCAGGTGGACGGCCGCGAAGCGTGCAGGCTTCAGTGGCAGAAGTCACTGCCGATGCCCTGCAGACAGCAACAGAACCAGAGCTACAGGCGGAGCCTGGGCTGGGTGTGGTGCTGCAGCAGGTGTAGGCACAGCCTGTACCACCGGCACCCCATAGAGGAGCGCCAGCTTAATCCCGCTTCTCCACTTCTGATCCGGCTCCCTGCTAATGCGCCTGGGAGGGCAGCAGAGGAGCGCCCAGGTCCTTGGGCCCCTGTCACCCCTGTGGGAGCCCCGGATGGAGTTCCAGGCTCCTGGCTTTAGCCTGGCTCAACCTTGACCGTTGCAGCCATTTGAGTAGTGAACCAGTGGATTTAAGAACTATCCCGCTCTCTCTGTCTCTTCTTTCTGTCACTCTGCCTTTCACATAAATAATAAATAAACCTTTAGAATAAACGCAGTGTGAAGCCGATGCTGGCTGGAAGCCCGCGCTCAAACCTGAGCTGCTGAGGGGCCGCCTCTCACCCAGGGCAGAGGACTCGGTTTCAGGAGGACCACACCTGGGGACGCGCCACGCACCCCACGAATGACCTCGCGCAAGCAGCCGGGGTGACAGGACTACCTCCACCTCGCAAAGTCCTATTGTGCGCAAAACCCCGCCCAGCAAGCAGCACTGCGCCTCTGCCTTACAAAGTGTTCAACAAGGAAGACTGCATGGGCGGGGGCGGCCTTGGGGTCAGCGCTGCTCAGCACGCCCCAGGCCCGCAGCAGAGCGCCAGCGCTCCAGTCTTGGCCCTGATCCACTGGTGAGGGCTCCAGTGTTTGGGTTCCCAGCACCCAGGGCCCGGCGGTCCTGCCCAGCGTGGGCATTTGGGGAATAAACCAGCAAATGAGAGTTCTAACTCCCTCTGCTTCCAAAATATACTAACTACATTTTTTAAAGATTTGTTTATTTATATGAAAGGCAGAATGATGAGAGAGAGAGAGAGAGAGAGAGAGAGAACGCGCTACCATCCTTTGGTTCTTTCCCCAATGGTTGACACAGCTGGGGCTGGGTTAAGCCAAGGCCATGAGCCAGGAACTCCACCCTGGTCTCCCACGCGGGTGCAGGGGCCCCAGCACGTGGGCCTTCTTCTTGGGCTCTCCCAGGCCATAGCAGGAAGCTGGATCCGAGCACAGCAGCCAGGACTTGAGGCAGCACTCTGCTAGGGACGCCAGACTCACAAATGGCAGATTAGGCTGCCACGCCACTACAGCAACCCCACCAATTTCTCTTTTAGCTTCAGTTGGTCTTAGTTGGAAAATTGCTTTCGCACACCAGTCTTCAGTAACCACCACCCGGAGAAGTCAGCAAGCAAACCCTCGCCTGCCAAGAACATTCCAAGTCCCTGAAGGCTCGAATGGCTGTTAGCACTTTTCAGTAATAAAGTATTTGAGAATTAAGGTATGCAAAGTGCTTTTGGCAGGCGTAATGCTATTGCACAACAAACAGAATACAATACAAATTAAACTTTTTATGCACCGAGAAAACAACACATACAAGGACTTCGTCACTGCCAGCCTCACGCCACGGCGGGGTGTGGACAGGAGCCCTCCGTCCTCAGGGCCAAGCCCAGGCTGTCGCGTTACCGCAAGCCCCGGCACGCCCACGGCCATGTAGACTTCCACACATGACGATGCTGCAGACTCCGCTGCCATTCGCACCCGTGGGTGCTGGCACCCTGGGCACACTCAGCAGGGGTGCCACAAGCCCCAAGGCCGTTTGCCCAGCGTGGGACAGCTCCTGCAGCTCCAGGCTGCAACGTGTGGAGAGCTCTCTTCCCTTCCCCAAGGTCACTGTCATGTGTGGCTACCCCCTGTGTGGAAAAGCAGTAGGGGACAGGCTCAGGTCACACAGATCTGAGACCTGACTACAAGGACTGACAAGGACCAGGGGCACTGGGGAGTGGCCGTGATGGGGGCTCCAGGGAGGAGCCAGCAAGGAGAGGAAAGACGGCAACCGAATGAAACCGGCCCCTTCAAACAATTCCACGCTTGCCTCCGAGACCCCCAGGGAGGCCGGCCTCCCCTAGGGGCCAGTGCCTCCTCTGGCTTGGGGCACTGGGGGTGGGGGCAGCTGCACCAGCCCAGGAGCCTCTGAGGACTCCGCCCCCCTCCCGGACCTCAGTCTCCAGGGCAGCTGCAATGGGCTCCCTCTGCTCACCCTGCTCTCACAGGGCCTTCCTGCCAGCTCGGCAGCCTCTCTCAGGCCAGACGCCCAGCTGATGGCGGCCCTGAGGCAGGTCAGGACTCCTGGTGTGAGAGTGAGTGACATGGCCCAGGGAGAAGCCCGGGGACCCCAGGCTGCACCCCATGTGTGCCCTGGAGCCCTGGGGTTCTCAGAGGCACCAACTCCACCAAACACCCCTCTAAGGCCCATGACACCCCCACATCCATGCTGTCTCGGTTCTGGGCCCCTGGGGTGGAGCCATCAGGATTCGTCCTGGGTGACTGGCTGGCCTCACTTAGCATGGTGGGCTCAAGGCTCACCTGGGCTGGGCCTGGGGCAGGGCTGGGCGATGCTGGCCTGCAGGTGAGTGCAGTGTCCCTGTGTCCACGCGTCCATGCTCTGACACGTGTGCGTGTCCCCTCCTGCTCTGCCCCTGCTGTCCCTCCGCTGGACACACGAGGGATACTTTGAAAGCAGCCTGAGGCCACCGAGACTCTGAGCTCCTTATCGCAGGCCGCACTGCGGCCAGGATCAGGGCTGTGAGCGCACAGACCCTCCCTGGGCTCCTCTGCCTGAGTCAGGGAACAGGGGTCAAGTTCTGCACAAGGCTGATCTGATAGACCCCACCCTCTCCTGGCCTGGCCCTGGACTGTCCCCAGAGTCAAGGTGTGCTAAGCACAGGTGTGTGTGTGTGTGTGTGTGTATACACACACTTACCCTGGGTTGCACAAATACACACACACATACACAACACAGCTCAGCTAGACGAGTGCACCCCAAACAATCAAAACTCTGCTTCCTGGGTGTTCCTCATGGCCCAGCCTCAGCACGTGAGAAGCAACGACTAGGGCTACAGATCAAAGGGGAGGGCGGGGTGGGGTGCCTCCAGGGGCACGGGGAAGGACGTGGCGCCTTCACACCCCAGGACAAAGTCCTCCTCTACTTAAGGGCAGCCAGCGCGTGCTGTCCGGGGAAGCCTGGTGACCCGGCCCGGTCACCCTGCCACCATCCAGACATGCAGGGGGCCTGGCTGCTGTCGGTACTGCCGCTGCTGCTGCTGGGCCCCAGGCCTCAGCCTGCCCTGGGTGTCATCCCGGGTAAGGAGCCCGGAGCGTCCCGCCCCATGCAGCCTGCTGCCCTCCCCCTGGCCCCCGCCACCACCGACTGACCGAGCTTCCCTTCCCCCACCAGAGGAAGAGGAGCACCCAGATTTCTGGAACAAAAAGGCAAATGAGGCTCTGACCAATGCCAAGAAGCTGCAGCCCATCCAGACGACCGCCAAGAACCTCATCCTCTTCCTGGGAGACGGTGAGAGGCAGCACCCGTGCACCCCACGGCCCTCCCAGCCCGGGCACTGCAGCCATCATGGGTAGGGTCAGCCCCGGGGACTGATGGGGCCCTGCTCACCCAGGGTTGGGTGTGCCCACGGTGACGGCCACAAGGATCCTGAAAGGGCAGATGACTGGCAACCTGGGACCCGAGACGCCCCTGGCCATGGACCACTTCCCATACCTGGCTCTGTCCAAGGTAAGGGCTGGGCCACCCGAGTGCCACACAAGACAGGGCTGAGGGTTGGGCAGGGAGCCGGGCAAGAGGGCGGGACCTGTGTGCTGGGGCCAGGGAGGGACTGGGGACACTGGGGACAGGTCTCAGGCACAACTAGTGGGGGTGGGGGGGTCTCTGTCTCTGCAGACATACAACGTGGACAGACAGGTGCCCGACAGCGCTGGCACAGCCACAGCCTACCTGTGCGGGGTCAAGGCTAACTATGGGACCATCGGCCTGAGTGCGGCCGCCCGCTACGACCAGTGCAACACAACCCAGGGCAATGAGGTGCTCTCGGTGATGTACAGGGCCAAGAAGGCAGGTGGGCTGGGCGCACGGCGTGGGATGGGGAGGGGAGACACCTGAGCCCCACGCTGACCTGTGCCTCCCTCAGGGAAGTCCGTGGGGGTGGTGACCACCACGCGGGTGCAGCACGCCTCGCCAGCTGGCACCTACGCACACACGGTGAACCGCAACTGGTACTCGGACGCCAACATGCCTGCCTCAGCACGGCAGGAGGGCTGCCAGGACATCGCCTCACAGCTGGTCTCCAACATGGACATCGACGTGCGCCTCGGGGCTGGGGAGGGGCGGGGCACCCACGGGCCACAGGCCAGGCAGCCTGAACTCCCCGCCCTGCCAGGGCCTTTGGGTGGGGCAGCTGGGGGGATGGGGTAGAAGACCCAGCCTAGAGCGGCCCATTCCCAAACCTGGTGGGGGAAGGCGTTGTTAGGGTGGGAGGGGCGTTTCCAGCCCACTGACAACAACTTGCCCTGTTGCTGGCCACAGGTGATCCTGGGTGGGGGCCGCAAGTACATGTTTCCCAAGGGGACCCCAGACCCTGAGTACCCAACTGACCCCAGCCAGAACGGGACCAGGTTGGATGGGCGGAACCTGGTGGAGGAGTGGCTGACATGTGTCCCTCCAGGGGGCGGGGCCCAGCAGGAGGAGGGCAGGGCTGGGGTCAGGCCTGGGCTGAGGTCTGGCTGTGTCCCTCCAGGGGGCGGGGCCCAGCAGGAGGAGGGCGGGGCTGGGGTCAGCCTGGGCTGAGGTCTGGCTGTGTCCCTCCAGGGGGCGGGGCCCAGCAGGAGGAGGGCGGGGCTGGGGGTCAGCCTGGGCTGAGGTCTGGCTGTGTCCCTCCAGGGGGCCCGGTATGTGTGGAACCGTACAGAGCTCCTGCAGACCACTCAGGATCCCAGCGTGACCCAGCTCATGGGTAACGGCCCCGGACCCCCTGAGACCCCCGACGCGCCCCCCCACTGCGCCCCCTGCCGGCCCTCATCCAGCCTTTGTCCCTCAGGCCTCTTTGAGCCCTCAGACATGAAGTATGAGACCCAGAGAGACCCTGAGCGGGACCCCTCCCTGATGGAGATGACTGAGGCCGCACTGCACCTGCTGCGCCAGAACCCCCGCGGCTTCTACCTCTTCGTGGAGGGTGAGGGGCGCCCCCACCCTAGAGCAGAGGAGGGTGGGAGGCTCAGGGTCAAGGGTCAGCCTCCACCTGTCTGTCCTGCAGGGGGCCGCATCGACCATGGTCACCACGCAGGCAATGCTTTTCGGGCGCTCACTGAGGCCGTCATGTTCGACTCCGCCATTGAGAGGGCGGGCCAGCTCACCAGCGAGCAGGACACGCTGACCCTGGTCACTGCCGACCACTCCCACGTCTTCACCTTTGGGGGCTACACACTGAGGGGCAGCTCCATCTTCGGTAGGTCAGGGTCCCTGCTGCACTCATGGGAGTGGACGGTCCCCGCCCCCGCTCCCCCAGCAGTCTAACGGGAGCTGTACGACCACCTGCTTCTCGTGAGGGTTTGGCCAGGGCAGAAGCTACAGGTGCGGGCGCGCGGCTCCCAGGCCACGGCTGTCAGTGCGACTTTAAGTGTCCACCCCTCCCCCTGCAGGGCTGGCCCCAGACAAGGCCCAGGACGGCAAGAACTACACCTCCATCCTGTATGGCAACGGCCCAGGCTACGCTGTCAGCAATGGTATACGGCCCGATGTCACCCAGAACGATACCAGTGAGTGCTGATGGGTCTGGGAGCAATGGGGTCACCACTCAAAGGCGTGGCCGCCCCTAACCACCACCCTCCTCAGGTGACCCCGAGTACCTGCAGCAGGCAGCCGTGCCCCTGTCGTCCGAGACCCACGGCGGCGAGGACGTGGCTGTGTTTGCGCGCGGGCCGCAGGCGCACCTGGTGCACGGCGTGCAGGAGCAGAGCTACATTGCGCACGTCATGGCCCTCGCGGCCTGCCTGGAGCCCTACACGGACTGTGATGTGACGCCCCCTAATGGGGCATGCCCCGCGCCAGCCGCGGGCCCCTGGCTGACAGTGCTGGCCACAACCCTCTTGCTGCTCCTGGGAGCAGCTGCTGCACCCTGAGCTACGGAGCCGCATGCATGACACCCCACAGTGCCCAGAGTGTGGCTCTTGGGTCCCCCACCCTTACACCCACCATGTGGTCTCCACTGGCCACCAGCTTGGATCCCACCGGGGCTCCCACCCAGGGTCCCCATGTGGGCTCCTGTGCCCCTCACATTTGGTGTGTCCCAGACCCAGAGCTCAAAGTCCCCAGCCCCCTCCCTCCCACCCTCAAGGCTGACTCCCCCAGCTCCACCACCCATGGGTGCTACGGCCCCCTTCACTCTGGCCGCTAACCCAGTCTCCCTCCTAATGGTCCTTCCCTCCTTGCCCTGCTGCCACTCAATGGGCAGAACTGTGGGCACCCTGCAGCCTTAGGCCCTGACACCCCAGGGGGCTGCTGTGGGCCTCCCCCCACCTCAGTCACTGGACTGTGCTCATAGCACCCAATCTCCACCCTCCCATATGACACGGTGCAGCCACAACCTGCTCAGGGCACTTGGCAGCCGAGGGCCTGATCCCTGCACCTCTCCGGTCCTGGGCAAACCAGCAGGAGCATGGCAGGTACTGGGAGTGGCAGGGTCCCGCCACCCTGCACCAGCCTCGGTGTGCCAGGATCCCAGCAGGCTCTGGTGCACTGTCTGGCTGCCCCTCACTGGCCTCAGGGAGGGAAGCCCAGTCCCTCCCCTACTCGCCCAGAAATGGCCATCCAGGCCAGGGCGTCCAGAGCAAACCCTGGAAGCCGCAGGTGCAGGGTGGTGCCCAGAGCAGCCCATGGCCCCTCCCCAGGCCTGCAGGGCTCTGGCATGGGTTTCTGAGACAGAAGGTTCCCTGCCCACTGGGGCCCCCACTCTCCTCGGAGACACAGAGCAGCAAGAAAATAAACCCAGGTACAATCCAGCACCAGGACTACCTCCTAGAAGGAACACCCTCGCTGGTGTGGGTCACGGGGCGGCTGGGGTCCTCAGTTGAGAGGAGACGGGAAGAACAGCAGTGCCAAGGCCCAGCTTGAAGGGAGGGGGGCCCCGCACCAGGCCATCAGCTCCCGGTCAGCAAGGGAAACCCCCACAGCCAGCACCATCCCCTACATCCCTAGTCCCTGCCTCTGAGCTCATCCAGGAAGGGTGGACAGAGCCTTCACACACCAGGTGGGCTTCCTGGAGGAGGAGACCTGCTGAGGGGCAGCCTGGGGCCTCAGAGAAAACTCAGCTCTAGGCCGAGACCGGGGTCCCCTCCTGCAGGGGGAGTGGGTGGGGTCCCCATCTTGGACAGAGATGATGTGAGGGCTCCACACCCATCGGGCACCTGCTCCCCGTCCCTTCACCCGGCCCACCTCACCTGGGCTCCACTGGGCGCTGGGAAGTGCCCAAGGGCAAAGGGCACAGCTTACCCATGTGGCAGCTGACCTGGGCCAGGCCGAACCAGCTGGCCTGGGGCTGTCCCTGACCTCCCCCTCCTGGTCCAGCTCGGGCAGCAGCTCACACAATGCCAGGACAAATGCGGCTCAGGATGACCACCACCCGCCACCCCAGGCAGCTGGGGTACAGACGATCCTTGTGGTCTGCTAGGCGGTCATGCATATGGGTCACCCCGGGGTACCACCTGCCCTCCAAGGGGCTGCTGGTATAGGCTTGGACCCTGAGCCCACAAGAGAGGTGTTAGCAGTCATTGCTGGTGTGGGGAGGCTGAATTGGCAGCACAGTGAGCTTCTGACACACACAACACATCCCTGCTGCTGCAGACGGCTGCGGCTGGGGGGTAGGCCCGCGTCATTCCGCCACTTTCCACGGAGTGGAACAGTGGACACTCAGGGGTAAGTGTCCCTCACAGCTGGCCTAGACAGTCCTCTTTCCTACTGAGGCCCTGCCCACGGTGGCCTTGCCCATGCAGCTGCAGGCACACTTCTCTGACACCCGTGCTCAGCCTTAACCTCCCCAGGTGAGGAAGCTCACAGCCCCGCCCCGGGTCCCACAGGGAATCAACAGGGCCAGGGTCAGAACAAGGGATGGAGACTCCTACTCCAGTGTTCCGGCCTGCCCCCCTCACGGAGGCTGCTGCACCGACGTGACGGTGGAAGCGCCACGCTCGCCCAGCAGCCAGCTCCAGGGGCGGCGGGGGTGTGCGGCGAACCTGCAGGGGGTGGAGCGGATGAGCTGGGACACCTGCTGCATGTAGTCCGTGGCCAGCAGCACCACCTCCTCGTCCTCCGAGAAGTCCTCCTGGAAGATCTGGTCCAGCAGCCACTTCCACTGCAGCTGGGGGAGGGGGGAACAGGGCCCCGGGGGCCCAGAGCAGCAGTGAGGGCGCACGGGAGCCGGGCCACCAAAGGCCTGCCCGCCCCTGGGGCGTGGGGGCCAGGGCCAGGGTCCCCTCACCCTGCTGGCCACCAGGGGCTGCCACTCACATGGGGGGTGATCTTCTGCAGCTGGCCCAGCGTCACCTTGTTGTACACAGAGCTGACGTCTCTGCGCAGGTCGTCATACTCCGACACGGTGATCTAGGGGGGGGTCGTACAGCTCACCCTGCCAGGCCCCTGCTCAGGCTGGGGACACACGCAGCCCGGGCCCAGGTCCTCCCTGCACCGCAGCCCAGCCCCACCGTCTCACTCTCCTCACCCTGAGCCAGGTACAGGGTCCTCTCCAGCAGGGTGAGCCCGTCCTGGTCAAACTGGGAGAAAGACGGGGGCCAGCAGGGGTCACCCCAACTGAATCCCACCCAGATGCCCGGAGAGTGGACGTCGTTGTCACAAGCCCCAGGAGGGCACAGACCTCAGCCCCTCCTTGCTGGACAAAGCTTCCCCTCCCCGAGGGCGACGCCTGGGGCTGCAGGGGAAGCCGTTCCCCCAGGCCCCCCTCTAAGTCCTCACTTTCCGCGCCACACAGAGCTCTGGCGGCGGGATGTTGCCCAGGCATATGGCGGGCTCCAAGCACTCCCCGTGCGCCCATCGTCCCCTCCGTACCGGCCGCCTGTGCGCCTGCCCCGGGTCTCCGTGGCCACTCCCACGGATGCCACAGCGAGCGGACTTCTTTTGTCCAGGCTGAGCGCAGCCGCCTTGCACAGCAGGGTTCAGGTCCCCGTGCGCCTCCCAGGTCTGGGACCCCGCGTCTTGCGCCTGTCCCGGCACTAGCGGGAGCGGGCGCGCACCTTGCCCTGGGCCGCGCCACCGCAGTCCTCACGCACCGCAGGCGCTCCTCGCTCCACTCGCCCACGGCCGCGATGGTGCGATGGCGTGGCGCCGCATTCAGCCGCCGGGAGTGCTGGCACGGGTCGATGCGGGGCTTGGGTTGGCGGCCAGGCGGCGGGCACCCTCGCGCCTGCCCCAGTGGCTTGCGTCCTCGACCTCCAGGTTCTGGTCGTGGTGCGTCGCCATCGAATGCGGGGCTGCCGCCGGCCTCCTTGCGGGCGTCGGTTCTCGGCTGCGGGAAGGGCAGAGGCGGATTCAGAGAGGCGCTCGGCCAGACGGCGCCCGGGAGCGGGGCGGGGAGGGGCGCAACGCTGGAGGCGACCTGGCCCCCAGCCGCGAGCTCGGGAAGAGGAAGCTCGGAGTGGCCTCTAGCTGCCCCGCACAGGTGGCGGAGCGGGAAAGGGCGGCGGCTGGAGGAAGAGGTGCGGACAGGGACCCTCTCCATGCCGGCCCTGAACCCGCCTTCAGCCCTCCACGCGGGGCCGGGGAGCCCAGCCAACCCCTCGAGAGGCTGGGGGCGGGGGTGCGTCCAGCCGGCCCCTGCCTCCGGGCCGCTCTCAGTAGCTGAGACCCGGCTGCTGCACAGCCCGCGGAGACGCGAGCGGGAACGTGCCCCTCGGGCCTCGCTCGCAGCCCCGCTGCTCCCCTGATGTGGCGGCGCTCGTGCGCAGGGACGGCTCTCTGTCCTGTCTGGGGCTGCTGCACTCACGGGGGTGGACCGTCCCCGCCCCCGCTCCCCCACCAGTCTAACGGGAGCTGTACAAGCACTTGTTTCTCAGGGTCCTTGTGAGGGTTCGGCCAGGGCAGAGGCGACAGGTGCGGGCGCGCGGCACCCAGGACCCGGCCTGACACTGTGATCAGCGGGACCGCAAGTGTCCACCCCTCCCCCTGCAGGGCTGGCCCCGAGCAAGGCCCAGGACGGCAAGAACTACACCTCCATCCTGTGTGGCAATGGCCCAGGCTATGCACTGAGAGGTCAGAGCAGTGAGTGCCACTGGGGATCTGGGGGAGAGGTTGACCGCAGGCAGGGGAGGCCGCCCTGTGACCGCCGCGCTCCTGCAGGGACCCCGCGCACCGGCCCGTGTCATCGGAGGACGTGGCGGTGCTGGCGCGCGGGCCGCAGGCACGCATGGTGCAGAGCTACATAGCGCACGGTCCTGGAGCCCCACACCGACTGCTCCCTACCGCCCCCTGGCGGCCGTACCAACGCCGCGCGCCCCTCCCTGCCGTGGCCGGCGGGGACGCCCTGACCCACGCGGCCCCACGCCTGGCTCCCACCCCACGGTACCTCATCTCAAAGTCCTGGCCCCGACAGGCGCCCTGCGGGTACCACGCCCGGCCCTGGCGCACACAGGGCCAAAGCTCAAATGCGCGGCGCCCCGGGCTCTGCAACCAACCCTGCTGGCCCGGGAGGCTGCTGGGGCCGGAACCCCTGGAACCGCGACTCGGGCCCGGCTGGCTGCACTCCCTGCTTCCCCTCGGAGGAGCCACGCAGGGCTCTTAGAGGGGACTCGGCCCCATGGGGTGCACCCCAGGGCAGCCCCTGGCCCCTGGCCCTCTGGACGCCTCCCATTCTCCTGGCAGAGACAGAGCAAAAAGAAAGTAAACTTTTATTGCACAATGTCCGGACTGGTGCTGTGGCATAGCGGGTAAAGCCGCCATCTGCCATGATGGCATCCCATATGCGTGCTGGTTCGAGTTCTGGCTGCTCCACTTCCGATCCAGCTCCCTGCTAAGGCCTGGGAAAGCAGTAGGAGATGGCCCAGGTGTCCGGGCCCCTGTACCCGCGTGGGAGACCCGGAAGAAGCTCCTGGCTTTGGATCAGCTCAGCTCCGGC